GCACTTGGGCGTGTGGCAGCACCACCAGCAAGCCGAGCAGAAATGCCCCCCAGGTTGTGATGCTAGGGGCGGCTGGTCGGAGGCGTTGCGGGTTTTTCGTTGACGAGAAGGCAATTTGGGGAGGGTGCAGGGAGAGGGGAGATTGTTTCGGGAGAGCTTCTCTGAGCAGCATCCTGCCTTGGAGAGGGCAGAGGCTTTGGGGGAAGGTTCACCTTGTGCCTCTGTTTTTCTTAAATATCAGGAAGGTTTGCCGGCAGCAGGGAGAGGTGCTTTAAAACCTGGAGGAAGCTCTCTGAAGGCGTAGCACTGCCTGCGGGCAGAGCGGGGCTGCGATGGGGATGCTGCTGGCACGGGGCACACCACAGCGCGGTTTCCATGGGGCTGGCTCCCTGTGGAGCGTGTTCCACCCGTGGCCCCTTCACTGAGCGTGACATATGCTGGACTTTATCATCTCAGAGGTCTTTTCCAGTCTCAACAATTCTGTGATTCCGTGGGTGTTTCTGAAGTAAACCCTGGGTCAGCGAGTGTGACGGCAGCAGAAGGCAAGGGTGAAGCTGGCAGTGACTAAGGGGACTGGCAAGGAACTCTTCCTCCCCATCCTCATTGCAGTTTTGCTATTTCCAGAAAAAAAAAATTTTAAAAAAATCCTATGTTTCCTTACCATGTGCCAAGTGCCTGCTGGGAGCTTTGGGAAGAGCTGAGCATGGAAGGGCAGGGGCTGGGCTGGGTGGAAGCGGCATTATCCCTCAGCTCGTGGACAGTGGTGTTGATAGGGCTGAGGACAAAGGTTGGACTCGATGATCTTGAAGATCCCTTCCGAATGGAACCGTTCTCTGGTCCTGCGATTCTATGATCCTGACTCGGCGCATCCCTGCTGACCCCCTCGCTCTGAGTTTCCTCTTTGCTCAGTCTAGCATTTGGGGTTTTTCTTGTGGTTTTATGTAGTTTTTTAAGTGGTGTATTTGAATCCTTGTACCTGCTCTGGCGTCTGAATGGTCTAGAGCGAGGCGAGGGCTGGTTTGCCCAGGACAGCAGGGCTGCCAGAGCGCAGCGCTGCCTCCAGGCTCATCTCGCATCCTGTCTCGCTGTTGCATGCTGGATTTCCTTATCTAGCCCTAAATATTTGAGCCCAGCTTAACAAAACAAAGCTAAACGTCAGTGCTCATCTCTAGGGAGGTGAAAGGAGAGCTGCTGAGTTTGGTACCTATAACTCATGGGCATGAAATGCCAGAAGAGAAATGATCTTTAATACGATTTCTAAGTTTAGGTTTTTTTGGTGCTAAGATCCGTGTATTTGCAGAACGTGAGGAAGTGTGTTTGCATATTGCAGCTTTGGTGACGCTCTCCTGGGTGCCAGGATCATGGGTACCCAGCCGTCCTTACTCCACATCTGTATTTTCCACATTTCTGTAGAGAAAAGTAAGGGAAATGATCCTGGGGCACTACTTATGGCTGGAACCACAGCTCTGTAAAGTGGATTATTTTTTTCCTCCAGTGTTATCAGGTCATTCTGCCAAAATGGAAAGTTTCTAAAAATTACTTCCGAAGCAGCTACTGAAAAGCTAGATTTTTGGTGGAGGCGTGCCACTGTAATTAGATTTGCTTCTCAAGTTTCTGGAAAAGAATTCTAGGGTTTAAAATGGATAATACTTTTCTTACTACATTAAGGTTTTTATTAAAAATACTGTTTCATCTCTGAAGCCATTAAGAGGAGAATATATAGGTTTGTGAGGGAGGAGTGGAGGGAGTCGAGAACCCTGGATGCCAATTACACCTACGTGATTTTTATTGCAAGTCGGGTTGGAAATGTGGAGGATGTTTTGTGGCTGTCGCTGTCCAGATGAATTCAGATTTTCAAAGCTGAGCCTGGCAATAGAGACACGTGAGACAACCTGGTTTATTCTTGCCCATGGGATTTTTCATTCTGGGGAATGAAAGAATCTCATATAGGTACAGAGGAACGGTGGAAGGAATGAGAGACTGAAAACGAGGGAGAAGGCACGCTGGTCTGAGAGACATCTACCCCTCACTCGATGCTCCTCTGCAGGGTTTAGACTAAACTGTGCTGCAGTCGCAGTGTGCGTGTTTAAGAGGTGGTTTTATCCCTCTCCCAAAGGATAGTGATTATATTGTCAAGGATTGTGGGCTTTGCTGCTGCTGGATGGCTAAAGACCTTCCTCTCGCCTTCCCTGCCGAGATAAACCTGGTGGTTTTGAATCTCACCCGTGTTTCGGAGTGGATGCAATGAGAACATCTCATCCCGTTCAGCTGGTTTCGCCGTGCTGGCAGGGGGGTCGTCACTCTGGGTGTGGGGAACGAGGATGCTCTCCCTTTGCTAACCCAGAAGTGGTGTCCGTGGAAAGAATTTATTAAAAACTACGTTATCCTTCAGTCCGTGGGTTTGGGGAGCTGCCCCCGCCTTCGCGTGTGGCTGGCGCTGACAAGAAGCGTCCGTTTGCTGAGTGAGTCTCTGATGCAGAACTCGGGGCTGCGGCCTCAAAAGTGGCCGTGCCACCTCCCCGGGGTCGATAGGATGATTAATGTGGGTGTGACGAGGGGTCTCTCGGGTGCAGGCGAGGTGCTCACTCCGCTCGTCTGGTGTGCTGGGACAGCCGGAAGCGCTGCACTTAGGAGCATCATTATTCGGGGCTGTGGCTGAAATCACTTATTCCAGCGAGTCTCTTAAGACCAGGAGGGAGACACGTGGCTACACGAATTTTTCACACCCTTTCAGGCTACGTTAGACATTTGAAGGGAAAATCCCCACGCCAGAGAGGCTCATCTGCGCTTTTAGGAGAGAGCAACGTTGGTTTTATACGTCAATGCACTGCCTGCACGGATGCAGTTGTAAGGTGCAAGGAATCCCCCTTGTCTGCCAGTGCCACGTTATCTCACAATTAACATATCAAAACTCAAAAGTGCAGTTTCAGTGACAGCAGGAAACGTTGCGAATCTTGATTTCCTGCACCCAAACCCCATTATTTACTCGCATAAAATTTCCACCAGGACCTTACAGAGTGTCAACGCCGCGGCAGATTGCTTAGACATGAAGCAACAAAGAGCAAGGCAGTGGTGGGAAGTAGCAGCTAAAGAAGGGAGGGGGTTATTTCTGAAGACCACCTGAGCAGCAAAGCAGGAGCTCACCAGAAACATGCCGTGTCTTTGCTCAGCCGCTTTGCTTTTCCCTCGCCCCGCTGCCCACGGAGGTGCTGTGCTTCTGCGGGGCTGGTGTTTAATCCTGCGTGTTTGGGCTGGCGCTGGCACATGCTTGCACCCTCTAACCAAAACCCTGGGCTGAATTAACAGCCCGTTTCACCTGTTTCAGACCCTGTAAATGAAGGTAATGGAGTAAGGGGGTGTCGTGTAAGCTTTGTGACTCCTTTTTTAGCTTGTTTGAGGAAAACTAATTTTCTTGTTTAACCTGACATAAAGGGTGGTAGAAAAAAACAAACAAACAAACAAACAAAAAAAGGTTCCAAAATGGTGCTTTGCAGAAAAATAGAGAAGGCTGAAGTGGCGGTGCCAGGGTGGGGGTGGTGACCACCTGAGGACTTTTTTGGGTACCCAGGGGGTCAGTGCCTCGGGTGGGCAACCAGACGCTAACCCCGGGCTGATCTTTCGGCACTTTCCCGAGGGGAAAGGCGAGGGATTTGCTGTGGCAACAAACCCTGCTCGCTCCCCTCTTGATGCGGGGCAGGACATTATTGCCCCACACAGGGTTTCCAGCATGCCCAGGGCTTCTAGCGTACGCGTGCGGTGGTGCTTCCACCTGCAAAAGGGTTTTGTCAGAGACAGACGTTCCTGGCCAGCGAAGGGAAACCTGCGTGTGACAGCAAAAGGGGAATTATTTCAGAGCCTGGCTGGTGTCCGTGGATGCACAGCACAACCGCAAACTAACGCCCCCCCCCTTTTTTTTTTCTTTTTTAATCATCGAAATAAACCGCGGATCGATTGCTCCACCTTTTGCACCCCGATTCCCATGTTCTCCTCTATAGTTCCAGATCGCTGGTGATTTGCAGATTAGCAGCTGGGGAAGGAGGGGGGGGGCTGCCAGGAGAGGGACTGTGGGTGTCCCCGCAGGTCGGGGTCCATAGGCAAGAGTTCAGGGGAGGGGGGATCCTGCCGACGTCCCGCTTTCCTGGCCCAGGGACACCGAACCTCCCCAGCCCCTCTTGCTGGG